CCACAGAGACCCCCCTGCCTCTGCCTCCTGTGTGCTGGGATTAAAGGCGTGCGCCACCAAAGCCAGACAGTAAATTGTATTTCTTTTTCTTGAGCTTAGTGTCCGTCCGCCCTCCCCCCCCAAATGAACTGTCCTCCAGAGCTGCACTCTCAACAGCCTGAATAGACGTTTTCTGTCCTTCAAAGATAGTTTTTCCTTATGGAGTAATTACAGACTACAGTTTTGACACAAAGTTGAAAGTGAGTAGGGGCCAGGCTTCTTTAATCTCAGCACTCAGGAGGCAGAGGCAGGTGGATCTCTGAGAGTTCAAGGCCAGCCTGGTCTACAGAGTGAGTGCCAGGACAGGCTCCAAAGCTACACAGAGATATTCACTCAGGATCGAAACTTCAGTTAGAGCAAAACCTAAGTTATGCATAGGTAGAAGTTGGGGATTATTAAGTAAGATTTTGAGTGAATAGAAATCAGGACTCAGTTTAATGTGGTAGAGTGAGTTACTTTAATAAGGAGAGTGGTGGTGGAATATGGTTTGGATGCTTATAAAGTTCAACGTTAAACTTAAGTGCTGTAGGTTCCAGCATTCCCTTCTTTAGGGGCTTTTTTATGGCTGATGACAAACCATTGGCTCTATGTCCATCACGGTGATGGTTCATAGGTTAAAGGTGCATGTTGCCAAGTGACAACCTGAGTTTCATCTTTGGAACTCATATGATAGAAGGAGAGAATGAACTGCAGGTTGTTCTCTGACCTCCACACATTCTGTGGCCTACACAAATGTACATATGCACACATGGACAAAATAAATGTAAAAAAAAAAAACTAAGTCACCACATTCCAAATTTACTAATCCTTATAGTGATATTCTTTCATCTTTACAAGTAAGGAAATTGGTTTATAGAATAAATGTTGAATTCCAGGTTTTGGGATCTAAGCTAAGACAACAAACAGTACAGGCAGTGAGTGAAAATTTGTTTTCCTTTTGATTAAAGCACTTTTACATTCCTGCTGAAACAGTGGATGCTACTAATTATAATTACTTTTGGAAATGGCCATTTGTGTTTAATCTGTTGGATACAGGAAGTTTTCCCCGTTTTCAGCTTCAAAACTAGTATACACAGATGTGTCTGGTATCTTCATGAACTACATGGTTATCCATGAACTACATTGTCTAGTTCACTTGACTTCCTGGACTGTCTTTAGGGTCTTGATGCTTTATATGAATGATTGTCTTGGGGTAGAGCTGAAGTGAGTGTTGTACATAAGTCTCCTGTTCCTTGGAGTTGTAGAGGTCTGGGCCATTGTTAAAATGGGATCTGGGATCCCTTGTACTATATTTTCAATTATTGTAGATTTATAAAGCAAAATCTTTCCAAGAAAAATCATTTTGAAAAGTTATGTGTGAGTTTTTTTATTTTATTTTTATTTTTTGTTTTTTCAAGACAGGGTTTTTCTGTGTAGCCCTGGCTGTCTGTAGACCAAACTGGCCTCGAACTCAGAGATCTGCCCGTCTCTGCCTCCTGAGTGCTGGGATTAAAGGCATGCCCAGAAATTTAAGTTTCAATCTAGAGGCTGAGGATAATAAGTTCAAGGGTCACCTTGAGCTTTTAGGTCACCCTGGGTTACAATGAGGCTGTGTCTCAAAATATTCTAACTGTAAATCTATCAGGTATTTAAAGATGAGGCTTTACTGGGCTGTTTAATTTGCTAGTTAAGGCTAGTCTCAAACAACACAATTTGAACATGAGAGCAGTCTCCTTTAGAGAAATGGTGTTTGATTCCTTTCATAGTACTTTTGGATTGAAATTTCATTCCTCTCAGAATATTAATTCTTTTGGCATAAAATGCACCCTTGATATTTGTTTTAGCAGTTCTGATAAATTATATTTTTATTTCTGCAGT